TCTATCATCTCATCTATCATCTCATCTATCATCTCATCTATCATCTCGTCTCATCTCGTGTCCAGAGTAAGGTACAGAAGAACATGAAGTTGATTAAAATGATTTCCAGATGATTTTGAGATGATCACGATCAAATTAATGGCTTTTACATGTTTATGTAGCAAAATAAATCTAACGTGTCTAAAACGATGAGAAATAATAACAATAAAGCGCAGTCTTTATTATCTGAGACATTTTTCCAAATAAGGAAAGCTTGTGTCCAAACACAATCTGAGATAATTAATTGTGCACGTTGTTTCAGAGCTGGTCCAAAGTGCTGCTGCCAGACTTTCATGTTGAACACGACTCGTGTTTTAAAGTCTGGTCAGGTCTGAGCTTCACATCTGGTTTGGACCATCACATCTGTCAGGACTCTGCACCTGGTTTGTGTTTTTTGTTCCTTATGCTTCAGCTCAGACCGTCAGAGCAACAAGTCCGGACAAGAACCTGGATGTTTTTATTCAATAAGTTATTTATTGAACTGTACAATTCTGAAGGACAGTAAAGTTAATGCATTGAATTATATAGTTTTGTGTTTTATCATGAAACACTTTTTTTATTTGTGAGAAGTGCTAAATGAATTAATGTTAGAGTTCTGATCGTCCCCGGTTCTGCAAAAACTTTTACAACGTTTCTCTCTCGCTCATTTGATCATTCACACGCTCATCTTGAGCTTCCAGTTGTTTCAAACACATCACTTTTATATTTCCATTTATTCTCCCACTGGGAGCTCTGGGAGGACGAGTTCAGCCATTTGTCCAGGAACGTTTCAGAACCAGGACCTCCAGAAAGTTTTTAAACAGGTGGCCATCAGAACGGCTTTTAAAACAGTCCTGCAGTTTGGAGCTTAAGGAATTAATCTCCCATCGAGGTCTACTGAAAATATTTAGATTTTAAAATAGTAATTGATAATGTCACAATCACTCCACATCCCACTGAAACATGCACTTTGATTTTAATGTACATTTATATAAACAGTGTGTGAACCTTCCTGAGGCACTGTGGCACGGACACGTTGACTCTGTTCTGATCTTCTATAATTCCAAACTCTAGGAGGGAATTAAAACTTCACACCCAACAAAAGCTCAAGACTCAGGAAGATAAGACCATAAGGCCAAGGCCAGGCATGGAGTGGGGTGGCCAATCCCTCATCTGCACCCCCCACCCCCCACCCCGCAGCACAAGCACCCTGTGACTGCACCAAAGCTGATGTTTGTCAAATCAAAAGTTTTCAGGACGAGAACATTCACATTAACAAACAAACCTCATATTCAAACACGGACATAAAAATTAAAACTCTGTTCCTTTGAAAAGTTCATTACACAAACTTCTTTTAATTCTCACTTGGTTCAGCGTCAGCAGAAAAACGCTGGCGTGGCCTTTTGTGGAAAGACTCTGATGGAGACAGCAAACTTGTCCAAAGATAATCTGAACAGGATGAGAAGAAGTTGAGGAAAACTTTTTGGGCATCGTGCCCCCCCCCCCCCCCCCATCTTAAAGCAATCTGTTTTGACCCACTCCAGTTTTGAGTGGCACTATTGAAACTGCACCTACAGGGAGGACCCCCTGCTGGCTCTCTGTACACAAATTCAGGAGGAGCCAGAAAAGAAGAAGAAATAAAAATCAATGAAGCTTCTCTTGATGTCTCTTCAAGACGCTGCGAGCAGAAGACCAAAAGATTCCTCCAAGATCCCCGCAGACTCTCCTCACACCTCCAAAGCGGGCCAGAAGGGTGAAGTGATGGATGGTTGTGCGGATTCTTTTACAAACAGGACGATCGCTGCAGACAAGAGAGAAGAGCTCGGAGAAGATGTCTCCCCTTTGGTTTGGGCTGGAGATCTGAGGCGTGCACGAGGAGCTGCTGCTCTGCAGCTGAATCCAGACAGGAAGTCTCATGCTGACCATTTATAAACTGCCATGTTCTTTAAATATATCACTTCATTATACATCACTAATACTATGAAACATGTAGTATAAAATCCTATATATGCACAGGACTCATAGGATTTTTAAGAGTTTGGTTATTAAAGCGCTAAAACATGAACGATCCTGTTGATGTGGGTACAGTTGCACATAACGCTGATTTAATTAAACAGCAATTAATTAAATACTTAAAATAAACATGTTACTAAAATTGAAGAAAAGTAAATAAGACGAATAAAATACACTAAATTTTAATTACAAAATAAAATCAGAACTGTTTAAAAATAATAACAAGAAAGAACAATTGTATAAAATAACTTTTGTTAGGGCTACTTATAAAACAAAAAGTAAAAATTTAAGTTATTAATTTAATTTTATTTCATGCCACTGACTTAATTTAGCTTAATTTCAAAAAATGTAAAATTATTTAAAAAATCAATTCTGCATACGTGATCAGCTCAGAAGCCTGTAAAAATATAAAATGACAGAATATTATATAGTTTGATAATTTAATATAAAAATATCAGTTCAAATATGTTTGAATATTTAAAATAATTATAAAGCTGTTTGTTCAGTTTTACATCTTGTTTGATCTGATAAAGAATTTCAAACATGTTCAAATAAAATACAAAAATCAAACCTAATTAATAAAAACCTGACACAGTAAATGAAATAAAGTATTAGTGAATAAAAGTTTTAAATCTTGTTGTGGGAAAACAAGGATATGGTGTAGGATCAATAAGGAAGTTATGGAAAATAAATATAATTCTATTTTTTTCCTTTTTACAGTGACTTAGCTTTAATTCAAAACTTCTAAACAATTAATAAAATAATAATGATTCAGAGAGCTTACATTGTTGATTCTGAAGTCACCAAATTTCCTCTCGGTTGTTTTCAGTTCTGGATTTTGATTCTCAACGAACCAAAAGAACGTCTTTCAGCAGAACGTTCAGATAAAATGTTTCAACGTTTTTATCTGGAGAGAATAAAGTAAAAATAATTCCAGCTGCTGACAAAGATGTTACTTCCCATCTCCAGGAAAGGCAGGTGATATTACCTGTGTTTGTTTGTCATCCTGTTAGCAAAATATCTCGTGAAAAACTTGACAAATTGACTTTTGGAGTGAACTTCGTCACCACAGCTAAAGAACCTCAGCACACCCAGAAATGGCTTCAGCTCAGATATTTATACAGATATTGATGGAAATGATTGGTGTGGTAGTTGCTGAGAGTAACTCCCAACAACCTGTGGGACATCGTCGTTGGACACAACGTCAGACAGGGGGTCAGGTGAGTCGCAGTTCTTCAATGATCCTTTAATTCTCACAGTTTTGTAGATTTACAGATGACAAAAGATTATGGACTGATCTGATTTCTATCAAAACAAAAACATTAAAAAACACTTTCATTCCTTTTGGCACAGCGTGAGACTTGTTTGTTTTACTTCTGCTTTATTGTTTTTACTGATCTTATTGTAGAGCAGCACGGTGGCTCAGTTGGTAGAGCTGCTGCCTCTCAACAATAAGGCCGCCAGATCAAATCCCGGTCCAGGGGCCTTTCTGGGTGGAGTTTGCATGTTCTCTCCGTGCATGCGTGGGTTTTCTCCAGGTACTCCAGTTTCCTCCCACAGACCAAAAACATGCATGTTAGCATGTTAAGCTGACTGGTAACTCTGTCTCTATGATGGACTGGAGACCTGTCCAGGTGTCCCTCACCTCTCACACAGTGACTGCTGGATCTGGTTGTTTTTGAAGAGCTTTATAAATAAAGTAGCACTTTATATATTGAGTCTAACGTCTTTATATTAGCTGCTAACATGCCTAATAAATAAAGGTTAAATGTTTGTTTTGAGATTGACCCACAGAAAACTTGAAACGTGACCACAGAAACCTGCATGCACCTCACCGTTAGCCTTTAAAAGACGGGTTTCTCTTTGAAAAGGGGGTTTAAAATACACCTTTGGTCTCGTTCACTGACCCCCTCATGACAGTGAGGCGTCATGTGCTTGCTCATTCATTCATCCCCCCCCCCCCCATCCCACGCCGTCCCTCAAATAATTACCAATGTAAAAAACTGGCACCCGAATGATTACGGGACGTGTGTAATGTCCTCTCATAGCTCAAAGTTTGGTCCAATTATGAGTGGCTGTGAGCAGCTGGATGTGCCTTTCACCACACAGGAGAGTAATGGGTGTGACAGGACCGCCGGGTCATTAGGGCGACTGACTGCATTATGGCAGCAGAGCGCGCTCAGTGATTAGTTCTGTCTCTCACCCCTGGCCCTGATTGAGATCATTACACTTCACGTCACTTCCACATCCTCCCAAAGGGATGGCGCCATTAATTCTTCACCCAATGACGACGTGGCAGGTTGGCTTGGAGGAACTTACAGGAAGAAATCAAAGGGCCTAACATTCTTTGAGGGACTGTATATCGCCCGCCATCTTTCCTGCCAGAAACTAGACTAAAACGATCTTATTCTGAGAGTTGGACTTTAACCAAACATCCTGAGTCATGCACAGTCTCATGAGGTGAGATCTTGTTAGAGTTGATGACGTTCAAAGTGTTTTGACTCTCAACAGATTTTCACCCAGTCTCAGTAAAACTGG